CTTGATATCTGTTTCATGTATTTTGAAAAATTAATTTTAATAAGATATATATCAATATTTTTAAAATTTTAATAATTAGATGTAGCTAGTAGGTATCATTGGCCAGCACAGGTAGAGAACATTTCCATGCTCGTGGAAAATTCTGTTGGACATTGTTGCCTTATATCATATTGGGGTCTTCTACACTCCCTGGTCATATCTTATTTAATTTGAATCCATGCAGCTTAATAATCCTTTACTTTTAATTGAAGCAGATGTCTGATGCTTTTGGAAATTAGACAAGGATATTAGACTATAAATCTTTTACTCTGTATAATATTTAACTAATTTTGTATAATGGGATATCTTAAAGCTTGGAAATTGTGTTATAGGGAATCCCTGGAGATAGAGAAAGTCAGGCTGTGGTTGACCCCCCTCAAGCAGCTAGTACTGGGGCTCCTCAGTCTTCAGCAGTGGCTGCAGCTGCAGCAACTACTACAGCAACGACTACAACAACAAGTTCTGGAGGTAAAGTGGAATCTTTGGATGGGGAGGAAATGGTCCTGAATTTTTAGTGTAAAATCATTTAATCTGAAATACTTTAGGAGAGAGGGTTGTTCCCAAAGCATTTGGAAAACTTTTAAAGTCCTTTATTTATTAATGTTAGTGAGAGAGAAAAGAAATTCTACATAGTGGGTGTAAAGTGGATTCTACCAATAGGAATTCTACTAAGTGGATGTTTATATCAAACATCATTGCTGCAGTTTTGACAAGGGCTTGTTCTTTTTAGTTTATTCTAAGGGAAAAATGTTTTCCAGTTTGCATTTAGTGTTACATTTTGAAGCCATTCAGAATGGTTTACTCTCCTTATCTCTTTCTTTCCCTGTTATAAAGTATGTATGATTTCAGAGCCAGCAGGATCTTAGTAGTTATACAACCAAGGAAATGAAACCGAGAGGTTTAATATCTTGTATTTGGGGGGGAAGCAAAGCTTGAATTCAGGTCTCCTTGCTAGTCAGTACCCACACTCCATTGCCATAGGTCTGACTACAGAGCAAAGCCTGGAGCCCGTTGTAGGCCTAGGAATTACATAGTGTTCACTTTCGTTCTTTCCTGAGTGTCCACCTTTATTCTTTCCATAGTGTTCTCCTTCATTCTTTCTTGTGTATATTGAAAAAGTAATTTAAACTGTTAATTTTGCAGAGGCCATTTTTCATGCATTTTCTAGACTTAATTATGGCAGTCAGCTCTGGTTGACAGGTATCCTTAAGCACTTTGTGTACAATCTTCTGGAGAACGAGCTTTGTGTTTATTGAGATTCAGCATGGTAGTGGGAAGAAAAGTCCACCTCTCTGATTCAGGTTTGGGGTGCTCTTTCATTCTGCACTTATTAGGTAACTTAGTCTCTGAGTCTCATTGTCTTCATCTATAAAACTAGTGTTATGCATAGAAGAATAAATAGCCACTTTAATTTAAACTTGTCTTCCTGAATAATTTAGAAAATGACAGCATACATCTAAAAGTTCTCATTACTTATTAGTAACCCCCAAAACAAAATTCTTTTAGTGGGGGTGGGGGTTGAGGGTGACTGGCCAGTATGGGGATCTGAACCCTTGACCTTGGTGTTATACTGTAGTCTAACCAAATGAGCTAACCAGCCAGCCCCAAAATTCTTTTTTTTTTTTTTTTTTTTTTTTTTTTTTTTTTTAACTTTTTATTGAATCATAAATGATTATACATATTTTGGGGGTTCAACATTGACATATGTTGATCAAATCAATATTTACTAGCATATATATTGTTACAAATCGTCCTTATTTTTTGTGCCTCTTGTCCAATCTCTCCTTGTCCGCCTCCCACCCCACCCCTGCTGATAACCCTAGATTTCTTCTCTCCTTCTGAAAGAGTAATGATCACTCTGTTGATTTGTTGCCTAGATGATCTGTCCAGTGTATACAATATTTAGTTTCCTATAGCATAACTGGACAAGCAGCAGCATGCCCAAAAAGTCACATGTTCTGTATTTTATGCCTTATTTGGTTTTATTATTTATTATTGTGAAGGGATCTTAGACCAAAGAATTCTAGATGTATTAGTACTAAATTGTCTTGAAGCTTGTCTCAAGTTTTTATAGATCATGGTAATAACCAAAAGTCTTCTAATTGTAATTAAGTTTGTATTAAAACTCCTCCTGATCTGCAAACTTCAACTCTGACTTTTAAGTATTAAATATCTTTCTCCCACTTCTTTGGTTTAGCATTTCCCAAGAATTCAAGCTCAGATTCTGTTTTTGAGGGTTTGGGGTTGTATTATAAAGTAAAATAATACAAATGAAAACAAAACTTTTGGTTTTGTTAGTCCTGGTATATATTTTTCTTAGGAACTTTTGAGCAACAGGATCACCTTTGAGTACTTTTTATTATTATAGAACACATGCAGGGCACAAGTTCTTAGTATTATTCACTAATTCTGAGCGCCCAGGGCAGTTTTAGGAAAGCTTGGTTTTTACAGTGTTCTGCACTCTCCACCTTTGCTAATAGTAATTTCTATAGTATAAGACTTGCAAGTCGATTGAAGAGTTCATCATTATTTACTTCACTTTATTACATCTGAGACCTCAAATCATGTTTTACATGGTAGTGTTTGCTGTCGAAATGTATGATTTAACCAGCTCTTTGTATATGTATTTACTGCTTTTGTTTAAAAATGTTTATGTGTATTTTAGGACATCCCCTTGAATTTTTACGGAATCAGCCTCAGTTTCAACAGATGAGACAAATTATTCAACAGAATCCTTCCCTGCTTCCAGCATTGCTACAACAGATAGGTCGAGAGAATCCTCAGTTACTGCAGGTGACTCTTTAATCAGTGTTAATTTCAAAAGTGGGGTTACAGTGTATCACATATTGAAAAAGTCCATGAACTTTCATTCCTCTTCCAGTCTCCTGCAACTCTGTTTGAGAATGGTTAAACCATTCTTCCAAGTTACACTCAGTAGAATGTTATGCTCTAGATAGGTGTACTGAAAAAAAAAGAGTAGAGGTGCAGAGGTTAGATTAATATAAGTTGGTCAAATAATGTTTTGGAAACACTTTATATTTCCTTCTTGGAGATTTCCCATGCATATTAAAGAATCCGAGAGGTTATTTAACAAACTGCTTAACAAAATTTTAAAATCGCTTTTCGCAAGCTTATTACCACTGGAGCACTGCCTCTTAGAAAACATAGCTGTAGGTTTATTTAATGCTCAGATCACCAAGTATGTGAATTTTGTACAGCATTGTTTTGTCTATTAATGTGGATGTTTAAAACATGATTGATAGATAGATAGATAGATAGATAGATAGATAGATAGATAGATAGATAGATAGAT